CCCACGGACTGCAGGGCACAGCCAGGGCTGCAGCAGCTTCAACCCCATCTGGTTTCCTAAAAGGTGTAGAAGAATTTTTTTTCTCGTGGGAAAGAAACTGTTACCAACTTTTGCACATAATACCTTAGCAGTATCCCAGAGGTGGCAAACGATCAGGTTCACTGTATGTATTAGAGTTGTGTATTGTTTATTGAGCTGAGAACTGGAGAAAGGATTTCTGTAAAAAAGCAAGACGTACATTATTTTTATACCAGTCAATTGCAGACGCTTATATTTAAGTATAGTTATTTGTTTAAACATGGTGGAGACTTTCTTACACTGGTTTTAGTCTGCATGTGTTCAAAGATTTTTACAAAAAATAAAATATAAAGCTTTTTTTTTTTTACTGTCTGTTGGATGCTAAATGTGTGGAAACTAAACTTGGTTTTCTTACACACCTCCGCTGTGACCCCTGTGCCTGAGTAGGACTCGGGGGTGTGAGAGGAGAAAACTGGGAGAGCTTTGGATGTTTGTGTCCTCCTGAGGGTGCAGCTGGAGTACCACGCAGCAGTTGGAATAAATGGTCGTGGATTTGTCTGCAGTTCAGAGGGGTGAGGCAGGGCCGGGCTGCTGCTGTCCCCTGTCTGAGAGCAGGAGCTGCTGGGACCTGCCTGGAGCTGTGCCTGCTGTGGGACAGGAGAGCTGCAAGGGGAGAGGAGGAGTCAGATCTGATTCTTCAGCTGGCGCTCAGGTAGTACCAAACCTGGAGCCTGCAGTGAGAGGTGTTTGCTGTCCTCTCCTGGGCTCTCCCCTAGTGCCTCTCCCATTCCTGCATGGCTGAGGCTGCAGTGCTCTCCTGAGAGCCCAGGTGCTGCTGCTGGTCCCTGTCACAGGGGCACTGCCAGGCTCTGCTGGGCCGGTGTTCCACAGCCCTCAGCAAGGAGAGGACACCTGAGCAGGAGCTCCGTGCTTGGTTCGTCCCTGCCCTGTCCTGCTGGGCTCCCTCTGCAGCTGCTCTGGAAAGGCAGAAAGTGAGTGAGTATTTTCGAGGAGGAAAAGAAAATGTCTGTTTCTTGGTTACCACTGTTTTGCAGTCTGAAACAACTGTGTTTGTGTGTGTGGTGTTCAGGAAAATGTAGTGGTTGCTATGGGAATTGAAGGAGCTTTTTTCCCCTGAAAAAAGAGCTGCTCAGATAGCTGGAGCAAAGAGAAACCCTTGGTTTGGAGGAGCAGCACCTCTGCCTGCCTGGGGTTTGGGGTTTGTGCTGCAGTGACCTGTGGAGGGCTCGGCCCTGGTTTGTGAGAGCGCTGAGCACCCTCTGTGCTTCAGAGCTTCCCTTCCCTGAGCCCAGGAGCTGAGGGACCCCTGACTGCCCACAGCAGCTGAAATGTCCCTGCACCACAGCTCCTGTCTCTCCTAAGACTTGGAAGTGAAGTGTCCCTGAATTTTGAAGTTTTCATGGAGCTGAGTCACAGAAATGAATCATTTGGCAGGGCTCATGGACTTCAAGGACCTGTGCTGATCTCCAGAGTCACCTGAGGTTACACTGTGCACTTACCTCAGTAGCTATGACAAGCTTTTTNCCAACATAAGAAGTTCTGTATTGTACGGCACAAAGGCAGCTTCTGTTGTGTACCTTTTGGCCCCAGGTGAGCATGGCTGTGTGCCCTGAAGGTGCCAGTGCTGTTCCTCCTTCATATGCAGAGGGTTTCCTCACAAATATCCCATTCCAGGAGTGAATGCAAGTGGAGAGATGGGATGAAATAATAGATGTAGAGTTGGTATCTACACTTAGTCCTGGTGAAGGTGCCTGAGCAATGTATAGTGTGTTTATGACAAAGGATGAATAAAGAACTGATTCTGAATTGAAATTTAATTCCTAGCTTCCCCAAGAGAAGTAAAAGCTGAGGAGAAATCTCCAGTGTCTGTGAATACCAAAACCATTAAGAAAGAGCCAGAAGAGAGGCAGCAAACCTCCAAGAGCCCTTACAACGGGTAGGTAAAACTCTGCTGCTAAGAGAAGGCTTGAGCAGAAACGCAGTGCAGGGAGCTGCTCCCGAGCCCCTGTGGCGTGTGAGTGCTGAGCAGTTTGGTTTGTGCCCTGCAGGCTGAGGAAGGAGAGCAAGAGGAGCCGCAGCAGCCGCAG